GCGCGCGCCGAGGAAAACGTTGCGCAGGTTCAAAAATGGAACGTCGGCGGCGTGAGGGAGCGCAAGGGGGTGTGCGCGCGTGCGCGTGCGCGTGCGCGCCCGGGCGAGGGTGACTGGGACCCCGCCGGCCCGAGCATCGCGCGCCGCAGCCGCGGCCCCGCAGCTCCGCCCCCGGCCCGGCCCGGCCCGGCCCCGGGCCCGCTCGCCCGCCGCGCCGCATGGAGCTGTCAGCCATCGGCGAGCAGGTGTTCGCCGTAGAGAGCATCCGGAAGAAGCGCGTGCGGAAGGTGAGGCTGCCCGGGGGCGGCTCCCAGGACCCCTGTGGAGTCCCCTCCTGTCCCCAGCACTGTCCCCTCCGCGTTGGAGACGAGGGAGAAAGTGGAGCGGGTGGGGGGGGTGGGCAGGCAGCCCCGCGCTGCCGGGCTCGTATCCCCAGCCCGTGCCTCAGTTTCCCCCGCCACCTTGTAGAAAGAGTAGAATAAAAGTTGTCGCCCCAGGATGCTGGGGGCAGCTGAGTCCGCCAGAGCTAGAGGTTAGGATCGGACTGTAGGGATCCTGAACGCCATCCTTTCTCATCCTCCCCTCTTTCTAAATATGGGGAGACTGAGGTCCGAGTTGAAGAAACGGCTTGCCTAGTGTGTTCGCGTCGGAGCTGGGTCTCGAACTCAGGACTCTGGACTCTTCGTGCCAAGTCCTTTGAAGTTGGAGGCGGAGCTTTGGAAAAGCGTCCTCCCGCCTCATAAGTCTAACTGCTGGACTTCGATCCCCTCCACACCCCAACCTCCACGTCTCTCCCCCACTTCCAGTGCACACCCCTCTCTGTCTTCCCCTCCCCACCTCCCAGCCCCGCCCGGCCGGCTCCGTGGAGCCGCCTACGGCGCTGGGGCATCCTCAAAGCTCCTCCCCCTTTGCCTTCGCCTCCAAAACATACACCCTGCAATTTACGGAGGCGTCTGTTCTGCTAGGTTCGGTCCCCGCGCCTCGGGCCTGGACTTTGGCCGTGCACATTTCCTGTGCACACGTCTGCAAAGTGGTCTGGCCCCAGACTGGAGGTTGGAGATGGAAGGCTTTGGGGAAAGTTCCTGTCCCGGCACTCACCACTATCCTTTTCCCTTATCTCCTCCCTGCAGCCCCATGGGAGGCTCTAGCGGCAGGGCTGGGGGGGGGGGGGCTTAGAGTTAACCTCCTCCCCTTTGACGAAGGCACAAACTGAGGCCCTGGCTGGGGAAGTGACCTGGTCAAGGTCAGGGGGGGGGGTCTTAGAGTTAACCTCCTCCCATTTGACGAAGGCACAAACTGAGGCCCTGGCTGGGGAAGTGACCTGGTCAAGGTCACACAGCAAGTTAGAGATGCGTGTAAAGCAGGAGCTCAAGTTGCCTATTTGCCAGCTCATCTCTCAAGAGAGAAAACTCAGTCCCTGGCATCTTGGGCTAACGGTGACAGTCGGGGTGGGCCATGAACTTTTCATCCCCAACTCCAATGGGGTTGAGCTCTGCCTTCAAGTAGGGGCTGCCCCTCCTCCTCCCTTACCTCAGGGTTTCCTCGATTTGAATTTGTTCCTCAAAGCCCAGTGTTTTCCACACAGTGTAGCCTCAGCAGGTACAGTAATTACCCCCTTCTACATGGGGCCTGAGGTGTAGTGCCAGAGAGTGAGAAGCATCATTCCTTTCGCCATTCATTCAAAATATATTTATTGAGTATCTCTGTGCACCAGGCACCATCCTAAGCCCCGGGGAGGGAGCTCCTTCCCTCGTGGAGCTGCCATTTTGGCAGCGGAGACACACAGTGAAAGAGGAAATAAATATAGACGCTTTCCAAGGGGGCCATGTGCCACACAGAAAGAGAACTACTGGAAGGCAGGAGGGAGGGTGTTGGGAAGGGTGGCCAGGGCAGGCCTCTCTGAGGAGGTGACATATCTTGGTCTTCAAGTTCCAGTGTGGAGGGGTATCACCCATCAGATGGGGTTGGACTGGGAACTTTTAAAGGCCCCTGTCACCTTTGAGGAAGGGAGGAACCTGGCTCTGTTTTCTAACTACTGGAGGGGGCCATCACCCTTTCTCAAGGTGGAGACTTTGTCAGCCTTCTCCAGGGTTCTGCCAGGGTCTTTTGACTTGAGAGTGAGTTGAGTCTTGGAGTCACTAGCCTGTCACCTCTGGCCCAGAGGCAGCCTCTCACAGGGAGGGGGCTGATGGGGCTAGAGCCATGTGGGACACACCAGGGAGGAGTATTCTAGGAGAGTCTTCTAATCGAAAAAGGAAAGAGAATTATGGTGTTAGCACCGGGACACTGGACACTGGATCTTTGGCCACACACATCCCCACACGGTCTCAGTTTCCCCACACGTGACATGGGCTCCAAGCTTCTGCCACAGGAGCCCCAGAGGTGTTTGGGGCCCAGTGCAATCCTGTGTTCTAGTAGGGAGGACCGTCCGGGGGGGTCAGTTTGAGGATCTCTGGTTGATGGGGATCTTGTGGGGGGCATCCCTGCCAGTGTGTATGTGTTGGGGGACTTCTGTCTGAAGAGGGGATTGAGCCTCACTGTTGTGCAAGTGGTCGTAGGGGCATCTGTGTATCTCACTGTGTCTACTTTCTTCCCAGGGTAAAGTCGAATATCTGGTGAAGTGGAAAGGATGGCCCCCAAAGTAAGGCTTCTTTGTGTGTGTCTGTCTGCCTACCTGTACATCCTTCCATCCACCTTTTACCCTTTCTCCTGCCTCACTTTTCACTCCAGCTGCTCTAGTAATTGGCCAGCAGACCTTGATTAATCATCCTCTTCTCTGGGCCTCAGTTTCCCTTCTGCCAGCTGAGAGGCTTGGAGCACATGAGGGTGAAGGTGAAGGTGGGCCCCAGCTTCTCTTCTCATGGGCCCCATTCAGTGTTGCACTCCACCTTCTGGTGGGACCCTCTGCTCCCCTGCTTCTGGCCTTTCCCGGCACCTAGGAGGTGAAGGCCCATCATCTTGGCTTCAGAGATGGCTGCCTGCAAGGTGGAGGGGCACTCAAGCTGCAGCAAGTACAGTGCCAGGTGGGGGTTTGTGTGGTTGGGCAAGACAAGTCTAGCCAGTGGGGCACGAGTCCTCAGTGCCATACAGCTAGGGACAGAGCCCGCCTTTGGACAGCACTCTCCAGTCTACAGAGCAGGCTCCTGTTCAGCCTTGTGAGGCAGCTGTGGTCCTGATCTCTAAAGATGAGGAAACAGGCTCAGAGAAGGTAAGCAGCTTGCCTTAGGTCACACAGCAAGTGGAGGCAGAGTTGAGAGTTGAACTGGACCTCTCCATCTTCAGGTATCTCTTCTGTGCCTCCTCCATCTCCCAGTTGCGGGCCAGGGAGCTGGGTCTAGGACCTCTCCCGGTTGCCCCACCTCTCTGCTGAGGCCCAATCAGGAACCTTCTCACCAACCAATCACCTCCCAGCAGGGAGTTGTTGGGGGAGGGGAGGGAAGGAGCAGGTCGTGGGGCCTCCCCATTGGTCTGTGGGTGCCCCGCCTCCCAGCCCTGCCTCCTAGGGACTGACTCCTGGAATCCCCCTCTGTCCAGAGCCCCTGCTGTCTGTGCCAGGGGCTTTCTGCTGTGCTGGTGTTGGGGGCTGACCTGGTGTTTGGGTCCTGGGAGTGTCTTGGACACGCGGTGGTGAGAGACAGCAGAGAGGAAGACAGGCCATGCTGCCTCAGCTTCTCTCTCTGCAAAATGGGTTCAGTAGTCCAGGCCCTGCTCTCTTCTCACAGGCTCCTTCACTTTGTGGGGTGAAAGGCCTGGGGGGTGTGTTCAGGATGGCCTGCAGGCATCCTGATGATTAGGGTTGGTGGCTGGGTAACCAGACAATGCATTCATCCATTCCTGCTGCCCCTTCCCAAACCCCCTGGGACTGAAGGATAATCCCCTCCTCCACTGGGCAGATGAAGGTGGGCTTCTGGTCTGGGTGAAGGGGCTGGTAAGAAGAGGTGGAAAGCTAGAAAAGGAAGATGTTCAAGGTGGGCCTACTCCCTGGGTACTCACTCCCCTCTTAGCTTCTGTGCCAGAAGGCATTGCGTCCCAGTGGGACACCAGCCTGTTGGCCTTCAAGGCACCGTTGGCTATTTTTCCTGCTCCGTAGACTCCCTTCTCTAAACAGAGGTTTTTAACTATTTAAAGTTCCTTCCCCCACTTTTATTAATCCTGAATGAATACGTCTGCCCATCAGAGCTTCAGTCAGGGGAAGGACCTGGCATTCCAAGAGCAGTCCCTCCATGGTTCTCCTGGCCTGTGCCCCCGAACCTGGGGCCCTCTTGTTTGCTAACATGCTGAGACCACCAGATGGGCCCTCATGACTGCTTTTTGTGACACTCCCCACTCCAAGGGAGTTCTGGAAGCCCTGTTTGGCCAGATGACCTGGGGCATTTCTGGCTCCCCTATACTTTGATCCTGGGTTCCTGGCCTGGCTCACAGCTAGACAGCTGGGAGCCCTTTAGCAAGTCCCCAACATGGCAGGACCTCTGCTTCCATCTCCAAATTGGAATAAATCCTCCAGTACAACAGTGTTGTGAGGATTAGATGATGGATATAGAGTACCTGATGCATGCTTAGCCCAGACCAAGCACTTAGTGAACGTTTGCTATTAATAGTAAGTTACACAGCTCAGGCTTCTGGGTCTCCCCTCAGCCGGGAGAGGGGTCTGGGAGCGTCTACTCCTCACAGGAGCCCAAAGTAGCCTTAGCAATCATTGAGATCAGTCCTCTCATTTTTCAAATGGGTAAACTGAGGCCCAGAGAGGGGAGTTATATACAGTAATATAACTGCCAACCCGGTGCAGCATGGTGCCCACTTTATGTCATCCACTGTGCCACCCCGCTTCACTTGGGGGAAAACAGGTTCAGTCACAGGGAGAGTCAGGAGAACCAGGGCTCCTCCATAACCCACTTGGCCTTCAGTCTCTCCTCCTCAGGGGGCCTTGCTTGAAGAAGAGGCTGAGAAAGAGGGTGGGGAGTAGGTAGCTGGGCAGGCTGCTCGCTGCAGGCCTGGGACCCTTGGCTAGGGCAGGGCAGTGATAGCCTGGGTGGGAGGGGAGTCAGATTCTCCTGCTCCCCAGCACCCTCCGCCCCCTGGGCAGGGAGGCTCATGTTAATAACAGAAGCCATGATTTAAACGGACACTCACTCTGTGCCAGGCCCCTGTTAAACCTTTGGGTGCTTTGCCTCTTTTCTCTCCCCAGCAGCAGACAAATGACTGCCCTTCCTCCCCAGCAGATGGGGTAGAGGAGCTATCTTGCTTGGAGCTATCTTGCTTGTTCTGGAAGGAACAGCAAATGGCACAGGGAGGGGCTAGAGGCACAGGGCGGAGGATGTTAAATAATCAGCTACATGCTGTCAGCACCACAGAGATGCTCACATACCTGACTCTCATCTCAGCCTGCCCAGGACCCTGCTGCTCTTCTTTGGAAACGCTTTCCTTCCCTCCGTTCTTACCCACTTGTGAATGCTACCCCATTTGTGGGGAGGACCGCCTCCATAGAGCTTCAGTAGTGATATTATCAGTGTATCAGGGTACAGCAATAACCAGGCTGCCTATCAGTAAGCCCCTATTAAGATCAGGCATTGGCCCATGTAATTGCCTAATGGCAACCCATTGTACAGATGGGGAGACAGAAACCCTCAGCAGAGGCGTCCTTGCCCCAGGTCATAAAGGGACGATTTGAACTATGGGCACCTCCATTTCTCCACCTGTAAAATGGGGCCCTAGCCTCACGGAGCCCTGTGGAAGGCTGCCTGAGACAAGAAAGGGTTCGTAACAGTGCCAGACGCAGAGGAGGCTCTTCTTTCTCCTCCAAGGCCAGGTTGAGCAGTGGCAGCACAGAGCCCTCGGTTTGGCCCTGGCAGGTGTGTGTTTGCACTCACCAGGCTTTTGATATTGATTTAATAAATGCTTGTTTGCTTTTATTATGTACCACACTGCTCTAAGTGCTTTAGGTGGCTTAACACATCTAATCGTCACGTCACCCCTAAAAGACAGGGACTATTGGTAGGTCCGCTTCACGGATGAGGAAACGGAGGCCCGAGCAGCGGAGTCACTTGCTCACCGCCGCCTTCGGGAGTCCGCTGCGCTGCTTCTCATTTGGGCGACTCTAAATCGGAGTCGGGGGCTGGGACTGGCCTGGCTCTGCAGGAGCTTACGCGGCGGGGCCCAGCAGGGGCGGCCGCGAGCCTGTTTACCCCGGCTCCGGTGGGG